ATGTTTGTTTCCAGGCAACCTTATGAATAGTACATTACAAAGATGCATACGTATCGCGATATCCCGAATACCGTAGCGACTGAAACATAAGGCGGCCTGGTGCAGCATATTCAGTTGCCTGAAAACATTACAAACGAGAGATTCGGCTGGATTCTCTCAAAAAACCAAATTAGTTTGAGTGTATACTTGCTAATTTAGTGTATTTAGGTTGATATATGTGTCGGGGATCTTCGGACGCTTGCCTAGAATCAAATTTTATTGGAAATTCTCGATGGCCAGTGTTCAAAATGATTTCAGAGATGAGAATACTGTTTTTGTATAAATCTAGGCGTGTCCCATTTCTAGCTACTCCATAACACCGATTAGTATCCAGTAAAAGACGTCAAAACTGATAAGGGACCAGTGGAATATTTTCGTTTGGAGTTCTTACTACACCATTACCAAAAACTAGAGCCCTCTATAGCTCAAAGAAGTTGTGTTACACATAGCATGGTAAGCCTCCTTCCCTGATGAGAACTGTTGATCTAATTATAGTTCGGGGACATGCAAGTGGATCCTATACCCTCAAAATCGGTAGAACTAGCGAAGAATGAACACATGATAATTGTCTCTGGAAACCTGAGCAACGAAAGACGAGCACGATAAAAGGGCCCAGCATCTTCATTCTTGAGGGGCAATTTACAAAACCGTAGAGTCTAAATCGGATACTGTTAGAGAATACGCAGGCACCTAGCTTCACTGTGAGGAAAGTTTAACGCTAGATTGTAGTTGACGATGAACACTGCTTCAGGCAATTTGTGGAAGCCATTTTCCTCAAGGTAATTACTGTACTCCCTCGGTTTCAAAATCAATGAGAATAGCAGAAGAGAACGCCCTATGACTCCAATAGAATAGAGTGGTGTCATCATCAACAGAGACGGCGACATTGGTGCTTCACTGCCGTACAACCACAAAGTTTGCCCAATTATATTTAAAGCCTTAAGGTGAAAAGAAGAAAGATGGGGGGAGTGAGAGGAACCTGGAGCTGGCTTATTACAAAAATTCTAAGGTGTGCACAGTTACAAACTCAATCAGGCCATCTAGGAACGAACTGACAACAAGAACGCCACTAAAACTGATCAGCCGTACCACAAAGTTTGCCCAATTATATTTAAAGCCTTAAGGTGAAAAGAAGAAAGATGGGGGGAGTGAGAGGAACCTGGAGCTGGCTTATTACAAAAATTCTAAGGTGTGCACAGTTACAAACTCAATCAGGCCATCTAGGAACGAACTGACAACAAGCCACTCACTAAAACTGATCAGCCGTCATTTCTTGCGACGTCTTCAGCTAAGCACATATGGGATCGTAAGTACCCCATCTCGGAGGACGTACCGCACCAACAATGCCCACACCCTTATTCACCTCTTTCACATCCTTCTACCAAGTCATATGTTTTCCACCCATCGATTTGCTGCATGCTGAAGGGAACACGGAGAACAGCACTCGTCTCGGTACATGGTGTAAGGCGCATGCCGGAAGACGGTATGATGGGTGTCAGTTTAACCAACAGGACTTGTGGAGGACAACGTCGTCCGCATACTCCAAATCGAGAAGGTTCTCCAAGCGCTTGCCTAACTATTTCATCAATGACGAAGTTCAACAAGGACGAAGAGAGTAGACATCCTTGTTGGAAAACACTTTTTGTAGAGGATTTTGAAGAACTTATCATACACTCTCACATGTCCAGAAGAAGGGAACGGATTATGTCCACAAACTTCTGAGACACCCTGTTGAGCAAGGATAGTAACACCAGTGACCGATCGACAAAAGTAAACGCATCCTTGAAGTTAAGGAATACCAAGATTATGGGTCGTCTGTACATATGGCGCTGCGACGATATCTGATGGAGTGTGAAAATGTGGTCGATGTAACGTCTACCTGATCGAAATCACCTTTGATGCTTCAGGGTCAATGATTCGTTTGCTGCCATAAAACGGCGAATCAGTGAAGCCAGAAGGCCTGTTACAACTGGAGTCAAACTGACACCTCTGTGATCACTGCATTAACTGCGAGTGCTGTTCTTTTTGAAAATGTACACTTATCGACTCACTCCAGTTGCCTGAGACGGTCTCTTTTTCTCACACGGAAGCAAGCAGGCTAAAAGGCACTAACTGAGGAATTCACAGCCATCCCGGAACAGAGGAGGTAGAAAGCCGTCAGGACCGGGAGCCCAACGATACTTGAGTAGAGATTAAGACTCGGACGCTTCTGAGGCTAAGAGGGGTTCCATATGCACAGTCCACCCTTTTGTTGAAGGGCGGCAGTCCGGACTGGAGGTATCAGGAGGCCAACTGAATTGTTGTTTGAAGTGTTGTGCCACCCGGTCCGAACGTTCTCTTTTGCTGTGGCCTATTCGGGTATGGGATAGGTTCCTTGGTGGCATCACATGGTCAAGTGATTTCCGCTATTCCGGGAATTGATACTGCAAAAGAAAAGTCTGTGATCGCACACATCTGAAGCAAGCGGTTTGCGTTGTTCGTGCGTCTCGTATCCAGACGACCATCGAAACAGGCCACACCAACATTTAGTCTACCTACCTGGTTGTTCATGTCACCACCAATCACAACGACGTCTAAGCTTTTAGCCCGTTGTAAAAAAGCACCCAAAGAGTCATAAAAACTGTCTTTGGCAGATTCAGAGCTACAGTTCGTTGGGGTGTAAGCAGAGACAATAAACAGGTTGCGATGGACCACATTTTCTCGAGATTCTCACAGACGCGCACAGATGACTATCAACGGGTGTTCAACCAAGCAGAGACGCTTCCGCTCGATCGCTCGAAACATTGGAAAGAAAAGAGACCTTCAGCTGTAACACCCCTTTGGGACCTAGCTGTCATGCAACCCAAATGAAGCACGGGAGTTGGGGTACCGCCAAGTTTCCCAAGCCTAGACAGAAATCGAGGTGTAGAGGTCGGGTTCGGACCACGGACCTCCCGGTCAGTAAATTCGCGCTCTAACCACTGAGCCATCTCGCCCCATTCGATATAATACCCACCCCAGTATATGCAGCTGCAGCGCATATACTGCGCCTCGGCATGTGCGCAATCGGAGCTTGGCAGACAGCGGGGGGGGGGTAGTCAGTCTAACGGCAGTACTTGGCCATGAATCCTTGTTGCTGACAGACAGCATGCACCAATGCAGAGGGAATCCACCATCCAACACCCATGAGAAGCCATTTCCCTGGAGAGTTCATCAGTCACCAACTGTCGAACGACACATCTTCCCTTACATCCGTAAAATGGGGTTATTGTAGCGGGCCGGGTCAGCACGCATTCCTCGTAAATTTGCCGCCGTTCGTCACGATATCAAAGGTGGAGATAGGATTGTTCCAACGGCCTACGTGCATCCCATACGTTTTCTCAACAACAGTACCAGTGAGTTTGACCGAAACTGATCATACAGGCCAGGTGTTCAAGCTTAATGAGGCCACCAAGAGCTACATGGCGAGCACGTTCTCAATACATGTGAGCACTGTTCTTCTTAAACAGCTATTAACAACAAGTAGTGAGTTTGTTGATTACAACCATGTTGTCTAGTAGTTCTGCTGCCTTCAACCCACGAAAGTGAGCTCGCCAGGAGGTGTATGGATGTGCCTAAAGGTTAATCACAAAACCAGGGGTGAGAAGCTTACGTAACTGCACAGCTAAATGTCTTCGAACACATTAAGTGAAAAGCGAAGGTTGAGTGTATGTTTCAGTGCTATTGCCTATAAGTCGCAGCTCAGCTGATTATCCAGCTATGTCGTAGAAATAAATTGGAATCTGTGATTACTAGGAATGGATGAGTTAATCGAAAAGTTTTGGTGTACTTACTAGCGGCTTTCATGATGCGCAAGGCCCCGAACCAAGTTGGTCCGCATCGCTGAAATTCTCTGAGCACCGTTCGTCTAACACAGTCCTAGAAATGTCCGTCATATTCGGGTATCAATATGACACGGAAGAGTCCTTCAAATAGGATTCTACACTTGACAGAAGCAAACACCATCCGACTAGTACTCATCCATGAACTTCCGTTCATAAAACGATCCCCACCCATGAGTGAACCGTACCTTGATAACAGCCACAGTACGAGCACTATAGCCGAGGGTGTCCGACAGCACTTCAACGCGGGCCTTCCTGAGGTTGAGAGCAGCCAATGAGCCGTTATCTAGTGCACCCAGAATGAGATTTTGAGAGTCGCCACAAGCCATGTCATTGACCGCACCGAACAGGTCCTCTTCTTCTTGTTCTTCATTTTGTATCCGCAGGAAATGACAGGGAGCACCGGGTTTTCGAATATCCCACACCTGGAAAAGACAGGATGTGTACAAATCTATGTTGATTCACGCAGAACATGCCAATAATAACATATCAGGATGACAGTTCACTGACTGTTCCTCTAATGCACGAGTAGGGTGGAGGGCATAGGCCACCCAACTGCATTAGGGCGTAAATTCATGAACGCAGGGATTCGGTACTCACCTGGACAATCGCATCTTCGTCACCCGTAACAAATACCACCGGTGAGGTAGAGAGCAAGCTAGAGATAGGAGATTTCTTGTGTGCATGCAGCTGAGCCCAAATCCTCTTTCCAGACTCTACGTCATGAACCTTCAAACCACTTTGGCTCGACGCAGACACCAAATGGCTGGTGGATGGTAACAATGAAAGGCATCGGATTGATTTGTGCCACCGTTTCTGATAGGTGCACTCGAACTGCCCGTTTAGCGAACGATAGCTTGAACAATAAGTCGGTAACGATTGATAAACTTACATTCGCACGCGTCCGTCAGTCGTTCCCAGTGCAAACAGCTGTTTAGCCTCATCTTCTTGAAGATAGGTCAAACAGCTAATGCCTTCGATACCGATTGGCAGCCGCAGCTGTGAACTGGTAGAAATCATGTCCCAATTAAGGTAAACTGACTAAGGAAGATAATAGCTGAGTGGCGTACATAGGCTGAAATAGACGACAGTGAAAGAGTCAGTCTGTTGAGCATGTTAATCAGCTAGACGAAACACGAAATGGATACATTATCCAAAGGAAATGCTTGAGTTGATAAAGACCATGTCTCTCAATGCTTTCAACCAAACGCTTGGAACGTTTTCGCCTCTGAGGACATTCAAAAATTTGCATTCTTGAGGCTTAATATGAAATGAAACAACACGATCAACACACAAACGAGAGGTTCGTTATTGGAACCAATACTTGACCGAGACTCGCGAGGAACTGTTACCGTACCAGCGCTCTCGGACAAAACCTATATGGCACATCTCTGTGGCCCAATCATGCCGTTTTAGCAAATCGTGCTTCAGACACCAGTTCCCGACAGGGTCTGTGTAGCCTCTAACAGGAACTGTTCACATTGAATTAAAACGGGGGCATCCATTGAATGTATGAGGGGGCGTGGGAGCTTCATTCCTGTAAACGAGTTCAGCCTGCGTCAAAAAGCCGAGTAGCATCGTATAGCTGGATCGGTCTTAATAGAAATCACCAGCAGTGTGCATTCTACGAATCTCCGTGGAGATTCAAACCGGTGACTTCTCGGCTAGCACTTGAAAATTAAGCCTTTGGCTATAAGCAGATGATCAGCAGTGACTCAGACAGTATAGGGTGTCAATCGTGCTTTAATTACGGGACTCACATCACAGAGTTACGTATTGACTGGCTGCTCGAGTGATCAGCTCTCAAATGGGAGGTGCACTCGTCATATGAATCAATCTTCCTTGTGAGCTATTTAGTTTACGGATATCCCGTCAAAGTGCGGGATCATAAGTGAAACGTTTAGAATGCGTCCGAGGACGAGTTAGAAAAGAGTCCGAGTTATCGAGGATAAACGACCTTTCACTCGTCTAAAAACAAGCGTGGATGAGCTGAAATGTACCGTATGTCAGTGTGAGTATATGGGGTGATTATAATTGTAAGCAGGCAAGAACCATGACAAAAAGCTCGTGGCCAAACGACTCAGTTCGAATCTCCATGAAAATTCATGAGATGCGCACTGTTGATCATTCCAAATAGGGTGATAAATGTATACTGCTTCTCGGCTTTTTGGCGTAGGTTTAATTTACTCGCAAGAATGAATCTCTATTTAAAAAGGGGGCTGGTTATTGCACGCGTAGACGTGTTTGTAGCTTTGGCAGTGATTTCATCATATGAGGGAGTTCAAAACTGCCTGCTGGGTGTAACCTGCGTCAGTATCAACAAAGTAATTTACAGTGATAAAAGCGTTTGTACTCACGTTACTCCCACATGAAGCAGTGCTACTCTTGCACTAGTGCAATCAATTCGCTAAGTCTACAGCAAATAGGGGCAGAAATCGCACCAATATTCCAAAACATTACCAGCAGCAATTCCCTATTACAGGAGCTTATCAGAAAGGTAAATCCTTAGCTTGGCCTGGCTTTGGACTAGACATCAGATGCGAGCATGACAGCACTACTCCACCGGTGCACGCTGGACACACGGTACCTTAGGAGTGGCGAATTTATTCATGCGATTAGTTTGTCGAACGGTTGAAGCAGCAACAGCCCTGGTTGTCGGCCAATCGAATTCTGTCATTGTTCCTCAGGCTGGTGGCTCCACGGATGCCTGGAACTTAGGAGACTTTGATTAACCGTAGATAGATGTTCTCAGTGTGGCTTGGTGGAGTAACGCTAGAAGAGCCTGCCTAGTGTATTACATTTCGGGATGGAATTCCATGCACGGCTGTGGACTGCCGATGAGATCTAAGGAGACCACAACTCGAGGTCGGTTATGTCATGCTTTTGTGTGGACTAAGCAGAATAAGCTTTCGAGGACAGAAGGACCAGAGTATAAATGAGAGTGATGAATATGAAATGCCACAAACACCGTGACCACCTGCAATCAAATGACAGTGTTGAAAATCACTCCAACTTGGAATTGAAACCAGATGAACCGAAGAATGGTGCTAGGCTGTCGGTCGCATACCTACTACCAGGAAACAATGACCGCGTGGCCGGTCGCTTCAATTCCTATGCTGCTTGACAAAAGCTTGGCAAAGTCATGGACTTTATGACGACTACTCCAAGAAGTAATACCGACACCACAGGCAAGGTGGGTCGGGGCTGTCGTGCATCTCTAGTGATTGCCTTCAGTAGTCAACAATTGGTTAGCTTCAAGGATCACGTCACCGCTTGGTTAAAGCATCGTCAGTTGGTGGCAAGAGGGCTCAGTGGTTAAAGCGCGGATTTAATGATCGGAAAGTCCGCGGTTTGAACCCGACCTCTGCATCCCGACTTCTGCTGTCCAGGCTTGGGCAGGAACCCAGCCTTCGTGCTTCCTTCAGGTGGCATGGCAGCTGGGGACCGAAAGGGTGTTACAGCTGAACGATTTAGTATTTTTCTAGTTGTTGGCTTGAATTCACGGCGCAGCCAGTTGCCTCAGAAATATAGTGTCGATCCTACCAATGCCCCACAGATCTGCCCCTATTTTCTTGATGGAAACCGCTAAGGGAGGGCAAGACATTTCAGCCCCAATGGTAGAGGGCTGCATGGGAATATTACAAGAATGCTAGAATGCTCTAGATAGATCAATCTCCGGGGCAACGTTATTTTTAACTTTCTTTTGCTCCTGGATAGACGTCGGTTTTGAGGGTCAAACACAATCAGACAGCTCATTTGGACGGTGTACGGTTCTCAAGCAAAACCGAACTGTGCTGTGATCAAGCGACCCTGATTGTAACGAACTTATACATACATCAAGTTTGGAGCCGCATACAACGGGACCCATTAGTTCCATATTTTCACACGTATATAGATCGGTTTTTGTCCGTTCCCGGTTCGCGCACGGATGGTAGAACTTAAATGTTCACCGTTTATCAAAACATTCGTCACGATATCAGCCAATTACGAATTGCTCACGTACCAATCAATCAATTCACCAGCCATAAACCATAGGCACAATGGTTTCAGTTGCTAAAGTCGAAGAGTGTGGGACATACAGCCAAGCGTTCGAGATAATGACAAGTTCTGCTAGCTCGGAAGTCGGGTAGCTATGCATTGAAGGACACAACTTTGATTCATGAGCACCACTGACTACGCGACTAGCCCATTTCTGCCAGTGTCATTAACCATTGGTGAGTCTCGGAGTCCTCATCCAGGGAGACAGCAGTTGTCGAACTTTCATATTTCGTTGCCAGGTTGTACAGTGAACACTTCTCGGTCGCTTTCACTCAACACAGGGCTGGTTAAAAATAGCTCTGCGAATCACTGTATCTAACATGCGGAGTACATATCCTAACCAGCGGAAGAATTACTTCTTGCTAGGACCATCTGGTGTAACGCAGCAGCTCTAATCCGATGTTCCCACCAGACCTGTGTAATGCTTCGGAGACATCGATGATCAAACACTGATACATTCCGCAAGACCCCTGCGCGTGAGGGGCACGTCGCTGATCCATAAAGCAAAATGGACCTTACCGCCGCGGTGTAAACTGTGCCCTTGATAGCTAAGCTGACGATAAGTCAGCGCCATAGGTGTCGGAGGTTGGCAAAAGCTATCCTGGCCTTCACGACTCGAGAACTAAACTCCTCTCCAGCCAGCTCACCGTGTGAACAAATGTATCTACCACGTCGACTGGCCCACCTGAAAGCATGAGGTTTGGGTTTGATCTAGCCCAGATGTGAATCGCATGCCAAATCGTGCGGCAAGGTTATTAACGTTGTTTAAAATGGCTTGCCTTTTCGAAGGATCATCATCATCATCATCGACAGCATGACATCACTGTTCAGCGCCAATGCTTCACTGCCGTACAACATGACTTATTTGAAAGCCTTATTGTAAAGAAAAGAGTAAAGGTGGATGAGGGAGGGACTTAGTGCTAGCTTAACACAATCATTCC